CTAGTCTTTTTTACAAAGAAAATTAGTGACACCTCTCATAACTTCCTTCTCTCTTTTTCTCTCTATGGGTTTTTCTTCTCTACCCCTTCGATATCAATATATAACTTCCGTTAAGTTAGCCGTTTAAATGTGTCAATATCTGCTAACTCTCTCTCTGTCTTCTCCCCCCCCTCACATCCTCACTTCGTTAATTTACATATGTTTAATACGGCCCGTCAAAAAATGTGTAAATTTTCTTTTCATTTTTTGTTTGGAAGTAAAGTCTGATGATCCGCAGTCCTTTAAAAGGGCTGTGGTGAAATAATTTATTACATGGAATCTTAAAGTGGTCTGTTTTTATTTAAATTATTTGCTCAGGATTTACATTGAGCTCTCTGGATTTTATATATATTCTCTTTATACGCTATTTTTATAGATAAAATTTATTTAAGCAAAAGCTCTGTTTTTAATTTAACAGTATTAATTTCATTTACCGCCCTGAATGTTCGAGAAATTTCGTAGAAAATACGGGTTCTCCGACAGGAATCGAACCTGTACTCCTATGCGGAAACCGTCATTTAATCTGATGTGTCATACCATTCAGCTACAGAGAGGCGTCTGATTAGCAAGGTCCAAATTACTGTTTTTAAAAACACAGTCTTCGATTTTTCTTGATTGATCATATCTGCTCACGAAACGTATTTTAACGTAAACAATCGCAACATATAATGAAATGTATTATGTTCGACAATTATTTAATATATTTTAAAAACACAATTTTGTACCATTACCACGAGAACGCGAAATAACGGTCAGATTGTATTTACGCCTGAAACTCCTAGCCATGCAATCGACGTTGGATATTATGTATATTCACTAATATATACTTATAGCTCTGTCTCCTAACATTGAGAACTGTATTTATAACACCTGAGGATGAAATATGTTTATACATACGAGCAATTTTACGTGCGTGTGTGTATATTTTTATCCTAATCCCCACAATATATATATATATATATATATATATATATATATATATATATATATATATATATATATATATATATATATATCGTCAGGGATATCAGCAATTGACTATTACTTCTCGATTTTCTTTTTATATACTTTTCATTAATGCAATATTTTTATATATATATATATATATATATATATATATATATATATATATGTTAAGAATTTGGGTAAATGATCACGACAGATTTATACATCAAATAACAATTGGAAAAAATGTTCATGAAAGTATGTTTCGAAAAATATCCGATAATGCATTTCACCCATTTTGGGCTACAGCAGATCAAAGACGAAAAAGTGAATTACCTGTGTATGTATTTGTGTATTTATTCAAAATAATGAGATCGTATAATTTTCCCCAAGATATTTGAAAAGAAGTCGTTTAATATTTTATGTTCTTTGTTTTAAGTGTCCGAGTTTAAAGATAGAAATCCATCAGAATGTGTAGAATATATATATATATATATATATATATATATATATATATATAGCTTACAATTATTGCATGGGATTGTTAGTCCTTTTAAGGTGTCGTTTATGTTAAAGAGATGTGTTGTGTATCCTTTATGATGTGGAAATATTTGTCAAAGATGTTGCTACATTAAATTTTGTCTTCATTTTTTTCTTGATTTTAAAGTCACAACAGCATCGATTAACTGTTTATTTTGGTATTTCGTTTTGACAACTTTTTAGCACCTCCTCCTTTTACAAAAAAAAAAAAGAAAAAAAAAAGGAAAATAGCAAGGCAGCCAGCTAAAAGGACACTGACAACACACGATCGGAAAGTTTCTATATATTTCCCCGGAACCGATTGATAATTATGGCTAATTCTTGTACTGACCGCCTAAGCTTTTACCGCATCCGTTCAGTTGTAATAAAATCAGCCACTGTCCACTAGTCCGTTATATGGTCAAAAGAATGAAACCCTCTGATTTCATGGCACAGAATATGACCCCTTTCAAGAAAACAACAACCTTTTCATATTAGCATCCGGTGCCTGCGTTTTAAAGCTAACATCTAAAGCTATTTTCGGTGCAATCGGACAAAGTGTACTTAACCGAGTACCGTGACACAAGCAGGCAACGCGAAGGTATAGTGACGAGTTTTATCACTGAACGCATCACAGTGATGTTGGCTGATTTGGAAATCGTCTGTTTCGTACTCAATAACAAAATGAAAACACAAAACTATGCAAAGATATATTCTGGTTCGTGTTTTTTTTTTCATTTCTTGGAGCAAATACTGTTTGATCTTATGTGCTTTAGACCGCTCGGTCACGGAGAGCTTCAAATTCAAGTTCCAATTCACTTACGCGCAAATACCTTTCGGAAAGGCATGAATCCACTTCTTCAACATTGCCATTTATGGGTTAATTAGTAGAACTTGTACCGGTAAAAATAATTATTATCTCCAAATGATCGTTACAATCTAGAAATGTTTTCTTGCTTTAAATATACCTGCAAAGGGTTTTCAATTCAGAGCCGTTATCCATTACATCACCAGGTATACCCAAGTTGTACTGACCAGGCTTGAGGTTTCTTAACTTTTGTGATCGTACGGGAACTGGTTTTTCAAAGTGATATTATCGCAAGCCTGGGGTTTGTTTGTTTGTTTTTTTATTTCTAAATAATGTAATTTCCTAGCAAGTACGCTCAACAATATTTCGTTATGATGATATGGATCAGTTCACCTCAGGATGTTAGCGCTTATTTCTTTAAAAAAATATGAAAGAGATTCAAACCAAGATGGAGTTTCAAAGTTTTGCCTGTATTTTTGTGCGCATGCGTGAGCGAACTTGAAATCTAAAGAAACGACAAATTAGTGCAGTTTATAAAAAAAGCAAATAGTTTCCAAAAAGAAAATCAAAAATATATACATTTATCAAAAAACTGAACCAATCTTTCGGATGTTGATATATTTGTGCCTTTGTTTGAAAAGAAAGATAAAAAAAAATTAAAACTGCGAGTTAACAAATGTCTCGTACAAAGTACGAAGATTGATTGAAAGTTTGCCGTTTGGGAAGGCCATTACTTTGAAGAAAGGTTACTTGTCATCTGTCTCCATTGTCCCCGTATTTACCTGGCTGGTTACTGAGATTGTGACAGAAAATCGTTGTCCTCTTTGAACTGAAACACATTCCTTCCAATAATCTTTGTTGGGCCTCACGAGAAAAAAAAAAGCATTTCTACTGGATGAAAGTGAGGCTTCAAAGAAGCCATCGACAATGAAAATTATAGCGTCTTCAATGAGAAAAATTAAGAGAAAGAAATCGATCGCCGAAGAGCAAAGCAGAATGCTGAGAAAATTATACAGTCGTGTTGAAATATTTCGAAAAAATATCTTTTATGAGGCATAAAAGCTTTTCCTCCATTTCCTTACTCAGAATTGAAATGTTTCACAAGATGAAAAAATGGTAAGCGAAAATTCTAAGCAAATAAATGAGAAAACAGTAGACAGTTCCTCCCATAAGGCGTCAAATAATTTACCTCCATTTATTCCCGTTGTACTTAAAGTACTAGTCAATTACGCTATTTATATTGTTCATACTGTTGTCTTCATCTTTATTGTCATATTAACGATGTTTCGATCGATGTATGCTCCGGCCTTCTGGATTACAACGCTTTTATCCCCAGTGACACTCTGCTCAGCGTTGGTTGAAGTAATCTAGTGACATCACCCAAAGAGTTGTAAGCTGTAAGAAGGAATAAAAACTTGGAGAGTTCAGTTACTAAAGGGAAATAAATGAAACTGGGAAAAGGCATGGCACGTGGATTTAGATCAGTCTACACTAGTGAACGAAATAAAATGTTGGATACGAAATTCCAACATATATCACCTAAAGAAGGCCAAGGCATCTAACAGCAATATCATGGTAGCATTCACCAACTTAAACAAGGATACCATCCAGAAGATTTGCAAGAGATTCCGAAGTCGTCTGGAGGCCGTGGTTGAAGCCAATAGCGACTTTATTGAATGAATTTACTCTTTAGTATTTCAAGATCTTTTTTTGTAAATAAATTTGATAAATATAATGTTAAAATGAGATGTCAGTGTTACTTTCCTTTCTGCGTAATTTAGATGACAATTTATCTGTCACACCCTGTATAGCAGGGGCACCAGACCAGCTGCGGCAGCAATATTCAATGCAGGGTCGAATGGTAGATTTATGATTGTGCAAGATAGATTCTGGCCAGGAAACTTGTCTGGCATGACACAGTGAACCAACTTTCCTAGCAGCAGACATAGTAATTGATTTATACAATCATTCCACTTCATGTCAGTGGAAATACCGTTAGACCAAGAAGAGGTAATGAATTGATTTCCTGGAGGTCAGCGTATATATTATGTCTATTTATTTTAATTTTAATCCTGTGAAATTGACGACTCAATTTCTTATGTTGTTATTAAACTCATTAAGGAAGGTGCTGTAGTTTTCTTCATTTCATTTATTTTCCCAAGTACTTTTAATCTCATCCAAGATCATCTTCAGGGGTGAAATGCTAAGACAAAAATTAGTATAATTGATAGCTGTGAATATTTTTTTGTAAATACGCATGAAACGCGCTCTGTTAATTCAAAAAGAAACGTTATCTAAGGGAGACAACTTAAAGTATATTTAATTTTTTTTAAAGAAAAAAATCAAGGAGGCTTACATTATATGTCGCAGATTCAAATTCCTTAGTCCAACATTTAAAGGAAAATTTCTGTCCACATTCACGATTTAAACAAATGGCAATACAAGTATACTCCATCATGAAAATAAAAACGTATATATGAAAAATATATAAGAAAAAAACAACCAACTTAAATAAGATTAATTATAAGTATAGCAACAATGTTTTAAATGTCTATAACAACAAGGCTTTAAAATACCTAAATTGTAATTTTTTTAAAATTATAATTATAACAGCAATGTTTGAAAATACTTAAATTGTAATTCTTAAAAAAAAATAAAAATATTAATTAAGTTACCTCCCTTAGATAACCTTAATTTGTATGTGTGTAGGAGGCCCGAGAGAGAGAGAGAGAGAGAGAGAGAGAGAGAGAGCGAGGGAGAGAGAGAAATAGACGGAGAGAAAGTTTGAAGTGAATAAATAAACAGGTGTCATGGTATCATCTCACTTCTTAGATGCTTGATGTTAGTTGCAACTGGTTGCAGAGAATTCTTTACTCAATGCGTCAATAACAAAAATGATTTTAAAAAATAGTTGAACATTTGCATTTTTTTATCATTAATGCATTGTCTTTTATTCCGATTTTTCTGCCTATTCACACCCCATGTTTATCTCAGATTCCGATTTTTCCGCTTATTTATACTCTATGGGTCTCTCAGATTCTGATGTTTCCTCTTATTTACACCCCATGGATATCTTAGATTCCGATGTTTCCGCCTATTCACACCCCGTGGTTATTTCAGATTCCGATGATTCCGCTTATTCACATGCCATGATTTTCTCTAATTACCAAAAAAAAAAAAAAAAAAAAAAACAATCATCTAAACGATTTCCTTATATGGGTTTTAAAAATAATGATGCAGCCATTTTTTCGGGGGAGCAGACCTTCAGTGTTATGCCAACGAAGCAATGCCTAACGTTTCTTGTCCCCTTGACATTCATACTGATAACAATTTTATCGATTGACGAAAATTGTATTCTATTACGTGTTTACATTACAGGTTTGTTTACGTCAATAATATTGATTAATTAACTGCAATACTCATAGCCTTCATTCCAGAGTGCTAATCATGTAGCCATTACCCACGAAAAATTGACAGACAACTACAAGAAGTCGTTTTGGCGACAATTTTTTATTCCGCATTTATTTCATTTTTATTTCCCCCACATAATTGTCGGGTAGTATTTACGTTTGTCTTTAACACGCTTTTTCAACCGATATGTTCATCGGTCTTCATATAAAATTTTGTACTTTTTCCTTTTTATTTTTTTATTTTCGATTTGCCAGTAAAACACTCAAACTTAGCATATACATTGAACCTAGTGCTCATACGAAATTTGAGTTTCTGTTGCGGACGTTTATCCTTTTTAAGTTGACTGTAGTGAAACAAAGTCCTCAATATTTCTTGGTTATGTCTGTTTTCTTGTTTGATTCAAATGTAAGTTAAAATAACAATGGTTAAATGGTCGAGCTCAGGTCAGTTTTGCGCTGAGTTAGAACGACCAATACACTTACTTCATTAGTAGGGCTGCCAACACTCATTCGAACGATGTAGGAAAGTGAAAAGAGATAGATTCTGTCCTTTCCGGAAGTGCGGTCATCACGCATGTAACCAAAAAAACTTTTGGCATTCTTTATAACTTGCATCATGGGAAAATTATTTTTTTTATTCTTTATTATTATTTTATTTATTGGGTTAATTTCATGTCCCTACAATTCATCCCCACCCATAAACACAGCTTTACAAATGCATTATTTATTTGAAATAGACGAACTTTCGTTTGAAAAATGTAACCCTTCTTTCTGAAGGTGTCTCTAGTTGGAGGTTGAGTCTTAGATTGCTGTAAATTTGACGAGTCGACATCTCGAATGTCTTCCTCAACAGATAATTTATATGTGTGGCTGACATCAGTGGTTGGGGAAATGGACCTACAATGTCAGTATGGATAGCTTCAAATCGTGTAGAGGCTAGTAAGAATGGAACTATTGCTGACTATGTGTCTATTAATTTTACTTTGTTGAGAATTGATGCATTCTTTAATCCATGTCAGGCCAAAAGTAGCGGGATTTCATCAGTTTTACTGTGGCTATGTCTCCTGGATGTGGCATACTATGGAAGGTATCATAGATCGCCTTGCGTAATGCTTGAAAATGGCACATAATATAGTCTTGTTGCCAATAGTGTAGGCCTTTCGTTTATCTATGTAGGTTTTTATTTCTGTGTCACACTCTTGCTACTGAACGAAGTCAGGTAAGTCACAAAGGTTGACTATCAGAGTATTTGCTGGTCTTGAGAGTTAGTCTACAACAATGTTTACTTCGCCATAAATATGCAGGATATCTGTCACAGATTCAGCTATTAAGGACAGGTTTTATATTTATATATATATATATATATATATATATATATATATATATATATATATATATATTGTGTATTTAGGCAGCAATCCTTCATTTATGCATGTTTCATTAAAACGACAGACAAGGTACTACGGTTAAGCCTTTTATTTAATTTTTCTTGTGTTCGTACACGATCTTTCTTTTTGGGACACACAGTGTTGAAACTGTCCAAATGTTCTATAGTTCCGAGCGTTTTCAGCTATACTTTTAGCCATTATCAAGGATGATTTTATTTTTCGGTTTAACCGTGTGTGTGTGTTTGTATGTGTGTTATGTGTATGCTTTTAGTGTGTTATAGAGGTGTTTTATTTTCAAAACACGGTTAACACATTGTGGCCTAGTTCGTAGTTTACATTGTTAAGAGTTGACTTTTCTTTTTTATTATTAGTGCTTCCATTATTTTTAATCTTTTTTACAAGTGGATGAGGTTATTATATTTGTGTTTTCTATTAGTATGTTTCGGATGGAGTCTGGTAAGTTTATGTGTGTGTTTAAATGGGTTCTAATGGAGCTATGATCAGATAGGTGTAACGTAAGGCGTCTGGATAAGCATGTAGCTGTGTGACCGATGTAATTATTTATGAGTTCGGTTTGATCAGGAATACAGTTCATTAAGGGACATTTGAACTCATAGATAATGTTCGTTCGTTGTAATTTTGACTTAGTTGGTGTGTTGTTGTTTTTGAGGATAAGGTTAGCGGTCTTAAATCTTCTATAGTAGATAATTAATTTGATTTTTTTTATATATAGAACATCTGGACAGTTTTTACACACTCTGTGTCCAAAAAGAAAGCTCCTGTGCGAACACAAGAAAAATTAAATAAAAAGCTTAAACGTAGTACCTTGTCTGTCGTTTTTAATGAAACATATATATATATATATATATATATATATATATAGATAGATAGATAGATAGATAGATAGATAGATAGATAGATAGATAACAACTGGCCTAGAATTCCGACTAATATCTTCTATTTTATACGACGTCTTTTTAGGAAATGGAAAAACCTATCTCTCTAAACTTTACTGACTTTTCTTGTTCATGTAACATTTCATTACAAATCATCTTTGTCTTTATTCTGCTATCCATTCACACGAACTCATTAAGATACTCGCTTCTTCTTACACATTATTGTGCCTCTGACATGAATAGGACATGCTCCCTTTTTTTTACATCAGGAAAAACGCATTTTTTTTAAATCAAAGCATGACGCGTCCAGTTTAGCCACAGAGACCAACATGATGAAGCAAAGTTTGATTTACCTATTTAAGGAAAGCATCTTTCTTGTTGGGTCTTCTATGAATCTATATCTGCTAGCTTCAGTTTCATATCCGGAACGTAAATAACAATTTCTGAGGATTTATAAATTTACAAAAACAAATTTCTAAGGTTTTTGTTTTCTTTTTCTTTTCTTTTTTATCAAACATTATCTAAGCGCCATTTTAACTTGGGTGTTGAGTTGCTACCATTTTTTCTTTTTCCTTAAAGAGTATAATTAATAATTAATGACAACCAGTTCTATTGTTATTAATTTCACTGTGTAAGGAAAAATATAAACAGGGGTAAAAACTCAAATACATGTGTCCATTAAAAATAACGTTTATAATAATAAGAAATAATGTCGGATTTAAAAAAAATCTTTTTAAAAATGCATAGATGGGGTTTTCACATGAGAAGAGAGAGAAGTAATTTGTGTATAAAGATTTTAACTCATAAAACATTAATTTAAAATATGGCGTTTTCAGTTTATACAGTATAAACTTCAGCCAACAGGAAATGCGCTGACTCTTGTATATATTACTCAGCTGACACTAGGAGTAATCGCACCTCTTCAAATCTGACATCAATCTTCATCATGCGCTGAACTTGTACACTGCTTTGGTGCCTGTCAAAGCAAACCCATCTTGCTAATGCACTGAGTTTATTATATTTTTTTGCAAATATATCTAAAGTGCTTGATGCAAAACGATGGTTAGGAAAATCGGTTAAGAAAGAATGCTGTGAGTAAACTTAGCTTACTCTGCTATAACACCAAATGAAGGAAAATGAGATTAACATCGTGTAGCGCCTATCCTTCCAACATGAAGCCCTGTCGCCATTGAATGTCGATATTTAAAACCTTAGCTTTTACCTCTGTTAAACAACAAATACTGTTGGAAATACGCAACAGTCTCAGCCACAAGACGAAGAATAGAATTAAATATTCCTATCTCGCAGCATTTTTTTTAAAAGGCAAAAATTCTCACAGAAAATATTTGCAAGGAGAATTTTTTTTTTTACAAGGAAATTACTTTATCTTCTCGCTAATTGCTGATTCGTTAATTCACAGGCGAATGAAAAACACCCCTTCCCAGCACTTCTTTTTCTTTTTTGTGACGACCAATATGACGGTCAATCTCTGGAACTTGTGACCATCAATTAACCCTATCAAATATATCAGCTTTCAGAAATAATATATATATATATATATATATATATATCCATGTTTGCCTGTTTTATCGGAATTTTTTTTCGTAATTTTTAACCTTATTGTTTACTTCACACAATGTTGCAAATCGATTTTGACGTAATTCGATTACATTTTTTTTGTTTTGTTTTATTTTCGTTGCCCGAAAACATAAATTGCAAGAATTTTTGATCTGCACATGTTTCATCAAAAGTCTATTCTTTAGGCTTTCAAAAGTGGCTACGCGTAGAAATATAAAAGTGGACTACATTCACTGAAAACTGATATCCTATAGATATTATTATAGGATGTCAGTTTTAAGCGGCTCTTGAGCAAAATCAGACGAGATAAGGCTGGAAATTCCCCACGTTTTTACGAAACGTCTACCCATCCATTATCGTGTAGTCTCCTCACTAATATAACATCCTCAGTACAAATATACTTGGTTAATTCACAATGACGACGGTCACGAGTGCGAGCCTTCGTAACCCTGGGACTGTGGATGTAAGTATTCGAATTAAGCACAGAAAGTAGAAAATGGTTCTGTGAATGAAAAATCAGGAGAAAAATCCAGTAAACAA